CCTTACCAGGCTGTTGTGAAGGCTGCGTGAGCTGCTGATTGCGCTGGGGGCTGTAGGCCACCGGGTGACTGAGAGGTCTGTATTGCTGGCTGGAGTTTGGATACTGCCCGGGCGGGTAGTAGGAAACCTGAATCTAACAGAACAGAGAAAGGCTGTGGATAAATCGAGCCGCTCCGAGTAATGGGTGAGAAAATGGAGCCCCCGGCCAGCCCCCACAGGACTCACGCTGGGGCTGCTGCTAGAGAGGAACAAGCCCCCACCCTGCGAGCTCACAAAGCTGCCCCCACAGGGCCGAGAACCAGTCAGGGCTGCAGCCTGCCGCGTGTGATGGGCATGGGGGGGAAGCGGGGAGGGGCTTTGGATTCACACCAGCACAGCAGGGGATACGGTTAGTTGGTCTCTTGCTGCTGCTCACACAGCAGCCCAGGTTTGGGAGGTCCCAACTCCCACCCACGCCAGGCCCCAATGGCACTTTGGAACCCTACCGACGTGGGGACAAGCTGCAGGACCGGGGCCTTACGTGCTTTCTTTATAGATCCCTAGAGCTTACGGCTAGACGAGCCCATTAGAGCAGCGGTGTATAGATCACAGGCCAGCACGTCACCCAGTGACCCTGTGCAACGTGTTCGACTAAAGCATCTTCCAGCCAAGCTGGATGTGAAACCATCCAGAAGGGGAAACCCGACCGCTCCCCTTGGACGTCGCTTCCAAGAGTGCTGAACAGTGGGGCCTTTCTGCCAACCGGAACGAGGCTGGTTCCACTTTCCAGCCGCCGGTTCGTGTTCCACCTTCCTCTGCTAGGTTCAAGAGCCCAGGAGTACCTGGGATTTTCTCTGACCTGGACACGGGGATCCCGCCACCGCCCCCCCTCAGATTGCAGCCATCTCTGGGGGTGATACACTGCACAACACCACGCTGGGCAAGAGCGTAGGACAGGAAGTGAAGGAGAATCCCCTTCCCAATGGACGCTGACCAGTGTCTTTTCTTATGCTCCACCCCAACGTCTCTCGTCTTTCATGGGCTAGTCCCACCTCCTGATAACAGAGGCTCTGGGACTTTCCTGAAAGAATTCCTGGTTGAACTACAGCTGTTCTGGTAGACAAACCACCCATGGCTCTTGATTTAAAACCGCCAGTGCCAGAGAACCCACCACAGCCCTCGGCAAGTTGTTCCGATGGTTCATTCCCATCACTGGTCAAAATGTCCTATTTCCAGTCTGAATGTGCCAGGATTCAGCTTCCAGCTGTTGGGTCACGTTAGAACTAGATACAAGAGCCTGTCACCAAAACTTTTGTAGCCCATGCAAGCACCCGTAGACCTCTCTTTAGGGCTTGGCCTATTCTCGAAAGCTCGACTGGTTATGGTGCAGTTAGAATTCGCCGGCAGACACTTATTTGGGAGTAAAAGCGGGGGTTTCCGGTTTAGCTTAACCCCCTTCCCAAGGGACATGAACTAAACCCAGAAAAGGCCCCTCACATACCGGAGTAAGGCTGGGTCTATGATATCCCGGCAAAGCACCCCAAGTGTGGACACAGCGGATAGCTTATTCCAGCCCCGGGAGTGAAATTAGCTCTACTGGCAAAAGCGCGGTTTTGCTGGCATAACTGGGTCAGCGCTGGGGCTTTGCTGGCAAAGAGCTCACCCCAGCCCCGAACAACGGCTGTGCCAGCAGAGGTCTGTAGTGCAGACCTGGCCCGAGAACGTCCCCCTGGGAGACGATAGGAGGTCCCATTCAGACTGTGATTCCTACTGGTCTAGCCTTCCCGTGCAGACCCCAAGACAGCGAGCGCTGTGGGGCAGGGACCGTCTCTTTCTGGGGTGTCTGCAGCGCTGATCAGTGACTCAGGCCCGCCTGTGTCACTGCAATACCCCTGGTAGCCAGCGCAAAGGGTGCAGGCTGAGTCCCAACGTGGACTAGACGCTCCGTTCCCAGGGGGTGCCCCCCCCTTCACCCCAACACTTGGCGCTTGCCTCGCCCCAGGCCACGCACACGGTCCCAGCCCCTGCTCCTTACTTGCTGGGGAGGCTGCAGGTAGCCCTGGGGCTGCAGGACTTGCTGAGCGGGGGCCGTGTGTCCCGAGGTGGAGTAGCTGGAGGCAGGGATGGGCTGTCCCGGGGACGCCATGATGAATCCCGTCTGCTGAGGATGCTGGGAGATGAGGGGCGGCTGGAACATGGCCGAGGACGGGTCCGGAGCTTCTGTGGAGCCCTGACGGCTGAGGCTGATCTGCCCAAAGGGGGAGCTGAGCTCTTCGGCCTGCAGGCGGAGGGAGAAAGAGAACAGAGCATGGGCAACGGTGTCTCTGGGTCATGCCAACAGCGAGGACGAGAAGCTTCTCCCCCCCTCCTCCCCGAGCTGCCTCGGGAGAAGCCCGGAGTCGTGAGCATGGCGCTTGGGCAGATCACGTCTGCCCGGCCAGGAAACAGCCTTCGGGGCTGGAAGCAAGGAGCCGGGGGGGCTGTGTCAGGGGTTGGGAGGATGGAGTCACTAAATAAAGGGTAACGTGGTTCCCCCCGTGCTGGGCCAGCCAGCCTTTCCCCCCGGTTCTTACGGCCTCGGGGCCTGCCCTAAAGTTCAGACCCCTCCCCACATTTTGCCCTGGCCGTCCCAGCCCGCTCCAGGCGAACGCAGCGCACTGCAGAGCCAAAGGGCAGCTGGTCGCAGCCTGCAACGCTGCATCCAGAACCGGTCCCAGCTGAGCACCTGCAAAGACCAACAGGGACAGGACCAGAGCGAGTGGACGGAGGCGACCGGGCACGGGTCCGATGCTGCTTGTGCAGTCAGTCAGTAGCTTAATAGGCAGCACCCGCTGGCTGCTTTGGGAATCCAGACATCAGGCGTTTGCAAAATGACCCCCAAATGCTGGTGCAGCCCCTCCGTCCTCTTTCCCTTGCTGTCAGCTCGAGCGCCATCTGCTCACCGCTGCGTAAGGGAGTGTGTCCACCCCCCCAGCACGCCCTGCGAGACAGCTCCAGGGGATGAATGGGCCACAGCACAACCACCGAAGGCCGGGGGTCCTGGGGCCAAAGCACCGGGCGATGGGACGGGGGTGAGCATGCTCAGTCTGGCGCCGGCTGGGAGTCCACACCTGCTTCTCAAGGCACGTTTAACACAAGCCACCGGGGCTACTGCCTGCAACCCCACCCCTCCGCCCGCCTGCCCTGGCGCTAGCCCCCTCCCGGAGAGTCGGGCCCTACAGAACAGCCCAGGTTAGCAAAGCTCGCACAACACAGACACGGCACACACGGGACAGACACGGGTTATACCATGTTGTACTGCTGGGGCGGAGACACGGGCAGGAGGACCTGGGGACAGGAGCTGGCAGAGTACTGAACAGGCTGCAGAGCTGGGACCGGCTGAGACCAGCGGAGAAGGGGAGAGAAGAGAGAGGTGGGGGGGCATGGGGGAGGGAGAGAAAGAAGGAAGGGCAAGGTTAGTCATCCGAGCTCATTCCAGACACACAGAGGCGCGCGCCGAGGAGGCGAACGGGGCTGCAGAAAGCTATGGTTTTTCATATCACCGTGAAAAAGAAATGGATGCTCTGGGGAAGCCTATCTCTGTGGGGGGCTGGAATGGGGGGAAGAGGAACGGGGGTGGGGGCAGCTCTCACCCCCTCACACAAACCACGACGCTTTCTGCTCCTTCAGAAGCTCCACCCCCATGCAGGCACCATTGCTGGGCGCAGAGGGACAGAGATCCTGCACTCCTCTCATGCCACCCCTGGGGTTCCCCCCCGCTGCCCCCCACCCCCATTTCAGCCACGGTGCCTTTCAGGGACTGTTCAGCCGCCCGACGGCTCTTGGACTTGGGCAGATTTTTCTCATCACTGACCACACTGTAGTTTAACGCTGCTAACCCCACGTGACCCAACCTGCCATGAGATCAGCTACAAACCCATGAGAATTCAACCCCGGGGAAGTGCCGGGTTCTTCCCAGTCACCTCCTGGTTCCAAGCTTTTCAGGGCCAAGATTCTCCTGTAATCACAGGACTCCGGGAGCTGAGGCTTTAGCCGAGACATGCGATGACAAGGCAAGACTTGGCCACACTGCACCTCCAAAGCCTTTGCCAACACGCTGTGGCTCACGCCCAAACTCCCACCAAATCTCAGACAAAGCAATGGGGAAATCAAACACCGCTGGTGGGAACAGCCCCGTACTGGCCATTTTGGGAGGGGTGTGTGTGAGAAGCAAGGCTCCCCCCAGCTTTTGGGGCAGCTGGAGCAGTTCAGCACCCCAAGGCCCCTGCCATTCCAAGCCACATCTGCTGCCTTCCATTCAGTTGTGCCATGGAGCTCGGACAGCTCTGAACCCCAGCCTGGCACCACGCCACCCCTGGTGAGTTACAGCTGCCTGGGGGCGTGAGGGGTGTGTGTGGAAGCGGTGGGTGAAGTTGCCCTGCTTGGCCTCTGCGGTTCTGCTGAGCTGCTTTCTCAAGCGATTCCCGCTGGGGGCTAACACCCACCCCCCAACCCGCAGACAGACTCTCCCGGCAAGCCTTGGATCAGCGCCGACTCCTCCTGGATAAGGGCGAGGTCGGGCGGGGAGCCAGCCACGCACCACGCAGACAGTCTCCAGCCTTGTCTACACCGAGGGGTTTCATTCGCACTGAGTTCTGGCAGGCGAACCGTCCGGAGGAGGCACTAACTGCGTACACACCGTCAACTGTTTTCTGATTCAATCCGGATCAGCTGGTCTACATGGCTAGGACTCAGGGTGGAGTAAGCGCACGGCATTCTGGGTGGGTATCCCACTGTGCTTTGCTTCGTTGCTGAGCTCTGTGCATTGTGGGATACGTAGCGGCAGTCAGGCGGAAGGGACTGGAGCTCTGGGGTGAAGGCAAACGGCTGCCGGGCGTGTTATACCGGGGCCCAGAAACAGGCACTGGCCTGGGCCTCTTGTCACAGCGCCCAGCAGCGCATGTTGTGCTCAGCACCCCGGTTCTTCGCCTCACAGACTCTAAGGTCGGAAGGGACCATCCTGATCAGCTAGTCCGGCCTCCTTCACGTTGCAGGCCACAGAACCTCACCCACCCACTCCTGTAATAGCCCCTAGCCTCCGGCTGAGACATTCACTCCTCAGAGATCATGGTACAGACACTCCACCATTGACACTAGTTTAAACCTGCAAGTGACCCCGTGCCCCACGCGGCAGGGGAAGGCGAAACCCCCCAAGGGTCTCTGTCAACCTGACCCGGGGGAAAAGTCCTTCCCGACCCCAAATACGACGACCAATTAGACCCTGAGCATGTGGGCAAGACCCACCAGCCAGACACCTGGGAAAGACTTCTCTGGAGTAACTCAGAGCCGCCCCCAGCTAGTGTCCTGTCTCTGGTCGTTGGAGATAGTTGCTGCTAGCAGTCGCAGAGCGGCTACGTGCCATTGTAGGCCGTCCCATCACACCACCCCCTCCATAGACTAACCAAGCTGAGTCTCGAAGCCAGTTAGGGTTTCTGACCCCACTGCTCCAGAGCGTCACTCCGCTGACGGTTCGAAACCTTCCCCTAGTTTCGAGCCTACATTTGTTGGTGGCCAGTTTCTATCCGTTTGTTCTGGTCTTACAAGCAGCTTCTGGCTCGTGCCCTCCTGCCGCTCCCCAGCGCGAGTTCCGCTGTTTACCAACCCGCCGAGGGGCAGAGGCGCCTCGGCGATCTAGGGCTGGGGGCGGGGCTGTACTAGAGCTGCGCCCACCTCCACATGGAAGACGAGGAGTCTCGAATGAATGAGACGTGGCTGGCCAACCCTGGTGTTCACAGGACCTGCCACCAGTCTCACTGCTTGGGAGGAGGGTGACCAGACAGCAAGTGTGAAAAATCAGGACGGGGGTGTCCCCAAAGGCTGGCGGTGACACATTTTAGCTTGCTGCTGTGGCTGCAGGGAATCGGAGCAGACTCCCTGGGCTGGCACGGTGAGGGAGGAGCACGGAGGTTACTGCGGAGGGCCCCATCCTGGTTTTTAGCTGGGTGGAAAGGCAAACGTGGAGCTTCCCACACTCCCCTGCAACAAAACCTTGGTCCCAAGAGAGGTTACAATTCCCACGCGACTGCCTGCCGCTGGGCAGACACCGCAGCACCAGTCCCCCGGGGGAGCTGTCCCAGCACAGACAAGGTGTCACTTTGCCTATGTCCGGCCATTCCCTGGAGGTAGGTTCCTGAGTAGATCCACACACCGGGGGCACCCTGAGTCCAGGGTGTGGCACTGAAACCATTCTGGTAAGCCCCGGACGATCACGCACACAGCAGGGAAGTGGCTGGGGAGCCATGGACCTGAGCAGGACACTGTCCCCTCGCTCTTTTGGGGAACCTGCTATGGGGAGGGCAGGAAAGGGGACACTGAGCAGACTCCCTCCGTAGAGAAACACAGCTTTGGAAGCGATCCACAGAGAACTCAGAATGGAGCGGAGATCGGCAAGTGGGAGCGAAAGCCGGCACCGTATGCAGGCAGCAATGCAGCACTCCCCTGCCAGCGGCTGGGACCGGCTACCACCACCGCCACCGACCCTCACCTCATCATTTAGGGGTGGTGGGTGGCCAACGAACTACAGCGAAAGACAGCCGCGGAGACATGGTTCCCGCAGACTCCGAGAACAGAGCCGCGACAGGAGGAACATCAAAAGCGGGTGCTTTCTAATGGGCGTGGGTCCACATCCGACCCTCCTGGCTGGTGGAGCATCCCGTGGGCAAGAATGATAGGGAGATGAACCTGGGCCTTTTAAAACGCGGGAGACCAAACTCTACCCCCAGGCCTCAATCCCAGGCCTCCTGCTCCCTCTGACTGCAGCTGGGAGACAAAGCTAACCGGCTGCAGGATCGCAGGGCGGGAGAATTCAGACAAGCAGCAGCTTCTGCCGGTCCCTCCAGAGGGGCTGCAGGTCCGAGCACGGAGGGGAACTGGGAGCTGGCGAATGAGGCTTTGTTTTCATGCAGGCCAGATGCAAGTTGCCCTCTGCGTCACGAAGCTCAGATAACCCGGCCTACTCAGGCCATCAGCTGAGGGTAGGTGCGATTCTCCGAGGAGGGGGTATGGCCAGAGCTCCAGCGCATTCCTGCTGCCAGGAATGAGGAGCCAGGCAATGCCATGTGCCCTGCAGAGGCACAGACAGGTGGCAGTGCGGGCAGGCTGGCACGGCGCAGTCTTTGCTGGTGTTTGCATAGAAGAGCTAAGAGGGACAGGACAAGCGGCCTGGCCTGAGGTCAGACAACAGCTGCCGGGTTCCCTGATCCCACTGCCGCGCTGCTCAACCCTGCCAATCTCAGACCCCGTTCTCAGGAGGGGTAAGCACCAGGCTGGTGCCAGCACAGAGCATGGCTGTCCGGGGCTCCAAAGGAAGGAAACGCTCAAGCTAAGAAGGGAAAATTTCACCCGGGAACCTCCCTGCTCCCACTCCACGGCAGGGGAAGGGCTCTGGATTCTGCGTCTTCAGATGGAGAGCTTTCAGAGAGCCAGCTTGGAGCACAGGCCTGGAATCCTGGCTCCCAACACTGACTCTATGGCCTGCAGCAAGTCGCTCTATCCCCTCTGCCTTGCCTACCCGCTCTGGGCTTCCTGGGGCACGCGCAGGACTGATGGCTCCGGCGGCACTTTGCAGATACAAAGCTCAGGACACCAGCTCCACTTACCCTCTTTGGGAGACTTCTGCAGGCGTGACCAGGCCTAGGCATGACTCACAGGAAAGTCACAGAGACAGAGCAACACAGCAAGGTCTGGGGGCCCACCTACACCAGGAGGGCAGAGCCCTACATCCACACCCAGCGTCCGGCTGGCGTGAACCCTCCCTACCACGAGGCCAGGCGCCCACAGGCCTGGCAGCACGTTCCCCAGCGGCAGCGCCAGGGCAGGCAGGACTACGGGCACTGGATTGCTGGGCAGTGCAGCCCACAGAACACTCTGCAGTGACCCCTCTGGCTGGGAGAGCACAGCCCTGCCCATATAACCAGAATGCACACTCCATCTCCCCCCTGAGGAGCCTATGGGCGTTGGGGGCCTGACTTACTGAAAGTCAATGGGATTTGGGCACCTAAGCCCCTTTAGAAGTCAAACTCGAGGGCCCGATCCGGGGGCCGGACCAGCGGCGCGAGCTGCCTTTCCCCGCAGGCACCCCGTTACCGACGCTTTGCACAGCACCAACCTAAGACACAGCGAGGCAACTGCAGCCCCCCAAAAACATCTGCAACCAGGAGCCTGGAGCCAACCTGCTGCCCACAAAGCCCGATTCTCAGCCTCTGGAGCTGGGAGCGCTAATGCTATTGCACTTCCGGAGCCGGGCGGGCAGGAGGGAGCCCGAGGGGACAGAGCTGTGACTCACCGGGGAGATCAGGTGATTACTCATCGCCGGCTGTTGCTGGGGAGTGGGCGGAAGTGCTTGGTGCTGCTGCGGCTGCACAGTGCATGGCAAGAAGCTCCCTCGGCCAGGCTGGGACGCGGAGACTTGGCTGCATGCTTCCGGGGCTAGTGACAGACCTTGAATGGAGAGAGAAGAGGCAGTGTTGGTACCTGGGAGAGGGACCCATGAGCCGGCTCCCCACCCACCCCTGGCTGTTTCCCCCGGGCTCATTCGTCCGTATAAAGACATCTGTGTCTGCCTGCCAAATTGAAACCTTCCCCGAGAAAGCTTCTGCTCTGGGAGCGACGCGGGGACCAACGTGCTCCTAGATCACGGCAGACGAGGAGCCACTACTTCCCCGCTCCCTGTCCACACTGCAAGCAGGAGGTGCCACGCGTAGGCAAGCTAGCTTGCTACCACTAGCAGCCCCGGGCTAGCCACGCAAGCGCAACCCTGCCCGCGTGCATCTCTGGAGCGCGGGGTAGGCGCACCCAGCGCACGCACTCACAGCTTTCTACGGTGCTCAAACGCTGCAGTGATGAGTTACATTACAAAATGGTGCTTTCCTGGCCCCCTTTGGTCTGTTCGCGAACTAGTCTAACCGCAGCTTGGCCGGGATCTCGCATTCCATGTGTGAAGTGCTTGGCACACTTGGGGGAGCTAATGCGAATATTTTGCTCTGCCTGGCAGCTAAGGTGACCTGACAGCAAGTGTGAAAAATCGGGACAGGGGGTGGGGGGGTAACAGGAGCCTATATAAGAAAAAGACCCACAAATCGGGACTGTCCCTATAAAATCGGGACATCTGGTCACCCTACTGGCATCAGAATCTGGTTCAATTCCCCAACTCTCCTGCTCCTACTGGGCGCAAAAACATGCCCAGAGCCAGGAGTGAGGTCCTTAACTATGCACCTGCGTAGCTTGGGGAAGGAGCCAGGGTAAACAGGAGCGACCTCTGCTGGCTGGAGGTCTCCACAGCACAAAGTGATTACTATAGAAAAAGCACCAATTTGATGCGTTCGTTTGGTGGGATAAAATATCACGTGCACGTAACGTGGGGAACGTTTTCCCTCTGGCACTGGGTCAGAGAGGGGCCTCAGCAGAAAGGTGCTGTTGAGAACTGCGCAGGCGCTTGCACAGAAGGGGAAGACGGAAGGCAAAATCCCCTTCACAAATAAAGAAGCTAACCATGAGCAATCATCAGAAATGAACAAGAGAGGGAAGAAAGGCGTGGACAAAGGTACGCCTCACTGGAGCCGCAGCTCTAAACAGGGCTAATACGTGGATGGTTGAAAGTGACTTGCTCTGCATACTACAGGAAGCAGCAGGGTGGGTATGTGGCGGGGATACATGCTGCAGAGTTTAATAATCTCCTCTTCTGCACATTTTCCCGACTTAAAAAGTAGTAAGTCTGCAGAATAATTGCCTAACCCCTGCATGGGCCTAGCAAGCCCACTCATTTGTCAATAGCAGGTTTGGAGAACGTTGATTTCTTTAATTGCAAGTTGTTTCTTTTTGCTCTGAAAAAAAGTGGTACTTTCAATTGGTTAGCCAATGTATGAAGTCTGAATCCAAATCAGACCACGCACCCAAGAGATAGCCACGGGAAAGAGTACGCACAGCTCCCTGCCATCAGAAAGAGCAAGAACAGATCCTCTGCCGTGCCGCTAATCACACGTATTTTCAAATGAGCTCAGCTCCCAC